ACAAAGCGGTGAGTTCTCGAACCAGCGAAGAGCCGCCGTTTTTAAATATAGCAGGGGGTGGACCATCAGGGTCCGGTGTCTTATAACGCTTTAGGCAGCTGAGTTCCCGCCAGATTTCCTGGTGAAAGTGAGGATCAGTCGGGATAGTCCACTCATCACCAGTGCGTGCCCCAGGGGAAACAGATAGAGTTAGCGGCCAGGAAAACTGCGAGCGAGAATGCTCGGCCCATCGCTTTAACCGTCGTTGAAGACTAGTGATTAGGGAGCCAGTATCTTCGCAGATTTTTTCGCCTATTCCTGATCGGAAGCCTTCGGTGCCTCGGATGAGGTGGAACAGTTTTCTGGTATTACCGGAGAGATTAGAAAGCTCAAGCTCTAGCACGTTCACATCACCAGGTATCACGATCTTTCTGTAAGCTCCTGCGCAACACTCGATCCAGGAATCGGCGTTCCTCAGTACAGCTGGTGTCGGCTTGGATCAAGCGGCGTCTGTCCATCAGCGACAATAAGGCAGTGGTGATCCAGCTTTTCGGTAGGTAACAAGCAAATCCACAACTGACAGTACTGGCAGCAATTAAAGCGTCTTTGATGCGCATCCATTGCGAATTGAGACCATCGTCAGAGGATGAAGCAAGTAGTGTTGACAGAGAAGCCTGGTACTTGGCTAACGTCGCTAGATTTCACAGATTTTCGACATTCGATCGGTAGTGCGTACGTCTGGATGATCCTCCGAAACGCATGCATATTTTGGCGCGAACCAGTGCGTGATCTGAGTCCAGACAAATTGACCAGTCCGATCGGCAGTCTGTTACGCTTCTGCGCCATCTGTAGCTTATTGCTATGTGGTCAAGCTGGGACCATTCTTGTGTTTGCGAAGGCGGACGCCAGGTAGCAGTCTGTCTTTTCGAATGGCGAAAACTTGTACTCGAAAGAAACAGGCGATGATCGGAACAAAGAGTCAGTAGTCTGTCTCCATTGTCTGCTCGGTTGCTATCGAGGCCAAAACTACCCCCAAGATGATGTTCGCTTGGTTGCAGGCGGCCCACTCGTGCGTTAAAGTCTCCGACAAGAATTACAATGTCAGACTTCCTAACGGAACGCAGAAGCTCATCTAGCAGTTGATAAAAGCACTCCTTGACTGCATCCGGGCTGCAGTCTGTAGGTGCCTAGGCGGAGATGACAAACAAGACACCCGTAACATTTTGACGCTTACTTAACTTACATGAACCTCGTAGTCTGACTGCACATAGCCGACTGTTGAGTGGGATCCAGTCAAGCAAAGCGACCTCAGTCCTGTCACTCAGTGCAACCCCCGCAACAGCTTGGCCAGACGTGGCGGCCTCTAGGTCTCCGGAAAGGCGCAAGTGATATTTGACATCAGGGTTTGCCGGAGATGTCATTCTGATGACCCTACTTGCGTCTTGCAACCTGGTTTCGGAAAGACAAGGTATGTGCACTGAGAGTATCTCAAGCGTGCGGACTAGACATGCTTGTCGTCCGATCTGCATCAGATTGCGCACATTGAACGCTGCAAAGGTGAATGAAGAACCAGGACGAAGGAAAGCTTGGGCTTCGGTTGAGTGTGCAGGTGTTGTGACCACCATGCAACGAACACCAAACATTTGGCCCGGCTGCTACCCGGCTGCCCAGGCCGAAGTAGAGGGTTGTATTAGGGGGCCCACCCCGAGCCTTTGATCCAAGATCTAACCTACAATGCAGCAGGGCTATATGAGGTTATCGCAATCCGTTGGGCGCCGGTGACCGAGCAATTGGTTCATACGCCTTTATGACCTCATATGACCACTGCCCAGCACACCCTTGAATTACAATGCCGCTCAGAGAGAGGCAAGGGGCAGTGACTTTATTTAGTGGCGAGTCACATTCGCCACATCACAGTGTTGTTCAACGGATATATGTGGCTTTTTATAAGAAGAACGCTTGCCAGGCAAAAACCCACCACGTCCTGGAACATTGCTGCCGAACCATTCGCTGGAATGGGATAATCCCGAACCACCCAGCTGGCACCACGAGGAGATTGTGCGGCAAGCCAGGATACTGTCAGGTTGCCCAGGCCTAGAGAGGAAAGCACTTAGGGTTCTCAACCAAAGCCCTTGGTTCAAAAACCTGACTGCAAAGCAGCGGGTTTGACAGTGGGCTACAAGGAGTCCGTTTTAAGGAATACGAAGCCACCCTCATTCCAACCACCGACCTAGAGGACCACGAGACTAAGTTTGTCTGGCGTCTAACCGTTGATCAATCCGGTATGAGGGACTCTGAAGGTGCATAAAAGCACCAATTAGCATAGCTCAATGGATTGTTGAGGCACGCAAAGCGTCGCACCATGGTAAGCTGCAGCCTCATTGCGGTTCCAGCAATCTCAGAAAAGGCTGAGATTATTGGAAGTTTTCAGAGGACCCTACAGGTGATTACGCGGACATCTCATATTGATGCATCAACTATTAAATGACCTCAGTCATGTATGGCGTCGTTTGCTGTAATCCAGCCACAACACCAAGTTCACAGGTAAAATGTCAACGGAATTACTTTTATCTTCGGGTTCGACAACCTTGGAATCCTCTCCCAAACTCGCTTATCTCCTACCCTACTTTGCATATATTTAACATACTGATGGGATGTTGCTCTTAGCCCCCAGCACTACGTTGTCTAAGCTGCGATAATGTGGATTGCCTTAGTCACGCCCTCATACCGGAGTTATGTGTCACATGAGCTCAAGGAAACAATGCAAGCCAGCAATCTTATTTTTTACTTTTCTTACACAATACGTCAAGTATCACTGCTTCCCACGTTGTTTTGTGTAACAACATTCAATTCCCCTTTCAAACTATCCCTACGCAGCGAATTACATTCAAATAGTAAATGCATACATCAATGATTCACATATCTTTTGGTTTTGTATTTTTCAATCCAACCATCCTACTGGACTTGTTATTCATGTTTTTATCTATGGTAAATCACTGTCTAAATGCGGGATAATGGCTTTGTAACAAGCCTACGAGATTACTTATCACAGACTGCTGGTATTGACTGCATCCTTTGCGTCGCTAGAGGCACGTAGTCAACGGCTCGATGTACTTATATCCTCCGTACTATTTGGCCAAAATGCTGAGTTTCAATGCTGGTCTTCAGCGAAGCAAATATTCCCATTTCATTAATATGAATCGATGTCAGAAATCATTTCAGGGTGAAGAATTCTTTTCGGTAAACTCTCATCGGACCCAAACATTTACATAACATTGATTTTTGGGGAAAGCGTCAACTCGGGCTAGGATTGACTTCTGGACTGAACGATCAAAATCGATAAGTTGAGACAGGGATATAGATGGTGTGCCAAGTGCATTAAATAAACATGCACACAATACTAAATAGTCCAAAGTAATTAGGTAGGTAACGTAATAACCAAGTAACTAAGTAATAGTGTCCGTCGACCAAGGTAGTAGTATCGGCCGTATGAATCATCTTTGTACACATAATTCCGGCTTAAGATGGTGAATTTAGATAGCCTCTGCGATAGATGAGAGTTTACTGAAAAGAATTCTTCACCCAAAAATGCTGAGGGCAATCTGCTCCAAGGGATCACAGTAAGGGCTGCTGAAGCGAAGCCCTACCGATGACATTCCTCTGTATAGCCGGGCATATAAGACTTAAGATCATCGCTAGTGATAAAATAGGCCAGATTGGGTAGCATATCAATCTGAAGATATCCAGGAGGTCGCTTCGGGGACAATACTTATGGTACTCATAACTGCGACTTATCCTTTTAATGTGCGCTGATCGTAAACCTTATATCAGCTGTGTCGCCACTCAAGAAATCCAGCGGTGTGAGTCAATGATGCCCAATGTTACTGTGAAAGATTCCCAACTGCCATATCCTAAGATACCTTCCTACCGCTCCCTGTCTCATGGTCGTGATTCCCTTTACCATTTTCCCAACTCCTTTTCCTGTCCCAACCAATCTTCACCATCTGGCACGTTAAACACATATATGACCTGCATACAACCGTGCATGCATTGACCTATATTTCCACGTTCGGAACAGACCTAACTGTCGCTTCATGTGGCTTCGGCTCATGTCGTTAGTTTGTGATGTTCCGTTTTAACTCCCTCGCCGTGGCATTAGGATACTGGCGAGCGGCATTCCTCACATCGCATGTGACCTGACGATGTTGCGAGACCATGTGAGTAGAGTTCACATACACGAGACCACCTTGGCCATGAGGACAAACGTAAATGTTATTCCATGTGCAATTGAAACACTTGCAATACCATCAAGGTGCGTGTGTGTGTGTGTGTGTGAGGCACTGGCCGAACACCTACGTTTCACGGCAACGTCCCTTTCCGATTAGTCATGTGTGAGTCTGTTAAAGCCACAGTAAATTGAGCCGAGCTTATACTACGTGAACTTTAAGCTCAGTTTGCTGGCTACCTTAGATTGTTGTCGTTGTTTGACATGCCTGTTCTGGAAGCACAGATTGTTGAGATATTGTACCTTTTCGTTTTTAATTATTTGTAATAGTACCGTATTCCATTTCCGGTGTTGTATTGTTGATCCTGGTGGAAACGCATTAACTCAAGACTTCCAAGCGAAGTGTCGCTTACAGTTACCTTTCCTTCTCAACTATACTGTTAATGAAGTTATGGAACTCGCAATTCCGGTTTGGGTTTGGAGTACCCGCCATATCGTTGGATTGCGACTCGCAAGCTCTATTGTGACCTCAGTTTACTTTGAAGTCTACCTCGGTCATTCGGATTACCAGGACTGTAGCCGAAGTGGAGAGTTTTCGGTGTTAATCCTCTCAACACTGAGATCTCTGTGTGTTTCCCCACACTCGCTCAGCCTCCACCTCTAACCATGAGCTCATTCATGAGACATAATAAAAGCAAGGTATAATCTCACCTTTTTTTCGTTTTGAGGTGTATAATTTGCGTTATGGTGCGCGCGACTGCGTTTACATCTTCCTTACATGTTGAAGGACGATGATGATGACTCTTAGTTCTAACTGGGTACAATGCAACAGATGACTAAGGAACGAAATTTAGTTATCATCGTCCAAGAAAGTTTTGGCAATTCGCTCTAATGCTCGCAGGCGGCGAATGTGGTGAACTTGCACTTGAGGCTTTTGAGGCGAGCTATCGGCACATTTGAGCGTTGGCTAGTACCACTGTTGATCAACACATATCTTCGTCCCCATGTTGAGTATGTGGCTGGGGCCTGGTGCCTATGATTAAAACGAGATATTCGTCTCTTGGAGCAACACCAAAGAAGAACAACCAAGGCAACATGTGAACTATTCAATCTCAGTTTCGAAATGTGCCTTCATTTGCTTGGTATCTTCTCCTCAGAATACCGACGGCTTCGCAGGAATCTCGTTCTCACATACCGGATATCAACTGAAAACGAGCATGTACATCATTGCTAACCCTGGCCCCTCACAAACAATGTCGAGGCCATCACCCGAAACTAGTGCCGCAACTCTCCCGTTTGGATTGCAGGAAGTATTTTTACTCTCTTAGGATCTGTTCCTACTAGAATACACTACCAACACCTGTGATGAACACATCAGACATCGCGACATTCGAGAGACTGCTAGACTTTGATTTTAGTGCTAAACGCTACAAGCACCGTGATAAACTGCGATGTATTTACTAATGATGATTCACGTTCTACGTTGGAACGTTTTTTGATTTTAATTTGCTGGTGCATTCTCCATCCTGTGGATCTTGTAAAGTTATGTTTTTTATCCCCTCATGCACTATTAAACTATTAACCATTTCCCAACTTCTTTCCATGGATTTTGTTTATCCTCATTTACTTCACTGTTCAGCTTCTGCTTTCGTGACGGTACGGGCCATGAAAACGGAGGCAACCGCGCCTCAGCTTCACGTCGTGTTTGATAGTTTGACTGGACTGTTTGATCGCTCACCTTCATCTATCGGACCGCGTAGTTTCGCCCCTCGCGGATTTCAGGTCGGCATACCAGCTCTCGATATGGCTGATAAACTCCCCTTCGGTCAATTCTAATGAAAAGTATAATGGAAGAGCGCGGTTTTAACATTGATGAATGGTTTTTACATCACTCAATACAAATATGTTGTTTGGTTACTGGACAACATTCGAAATTTACACTAGAATATTCATAGTGTGCATTTGACTGACGGAGAGCTGTGAGAACCTTTAATTTGGATTAGATTATCCTGTCTCACCCGGCATCAGATCCTTTTGCTGGTGCAAAATGCACATCCCTGCTATCAAGTTAGTCAGCTCTCCAACAAATTCGCTGTGGTCTACGCGCGCGCATGCAACCAGTCGTATCCAACGTGAACATTGCACAAATACACACCGCCCGAGATACACCTGAGTCTGGCATCCCCTTATTTGGTTGCAGCATTCCTCTCTGAATCCCTATTCGGGAATCTCATGAAGCCATATCCTTTTGCCGGAGAGTGAAGCTGATGGCGTATCCACTAGTGAATGAGCCACTCGGTGGCGCTTTCATGCCGTAAACACAGCGGTCCAACGGTGAACCAATGAAACCGGTAGTCACTCTTACTGAAAACCGCTTTAGTTTCTTAGATAAACACAGAGGTCTTTCATCAATGCTGATTCATCACAAATGCTGTGCTTCGCCGTGTTAAATACACTTGTTTCCAAGAACATCAACTAAAAGGTGCCTGTTTCTTCTAGGAATCAGGCTTTTGGCACAAAAATCTCGGGAGCCATCCGTAAACATGATAGCGAATAAAGTTCACCTAATGTTCGGCAGCTCAGCCGTTGCAATTGAACTAATTCCGCTGTATGTGTCGTGTTTACGCACTTACCTAACTACGCTTTATCACCCTTACTTCGCTTGTAGAGGCAGAGTATCAGAACTGAGTTGTACCTAATGGTCACAGCTGAAGCTACAATATCGTGTTACCCTTTATTAAAGCCAACACAGAGATTCCAAATTAGTCAATGAAACTGACCCGCTATCGTATTTAGTCATACTGGAAACTGTATTAGATGCTAATGAATTTGAACATAACGAGACTGAAGATTCATCTACGCTTACTTGAGAAACGGAGTTTGCATTGCAGTCAATGGCGCTGCTATTGATCCGCGCTGTGGTTCAAGACTATATCGCTTTTCAAGGGATTTTGCAACAGTCTATGAATAGACATTGAGCCATCGGAAACCATGGAACTCAAAACAAAGTACAGAAATGGTAAAATACAACACAACACATCCAAGTACATGGTTTCGTCAGAGGGCGAGATACTACCCGGTTGTCTAAGCCGAAGTAGGGTGTTGACTTAGGGGACACCACCCCGAGCCTTTGGCTGAATAGCCTGTCCGCAAGGCAGCGGAGCGAATTCAGGGAATCGCGCCCATTGGGAGCCGGTGACTGATTGATCAGTTCATACGCCTTTCGTTTGTTCCTTTGTCAAACAGGGGCCCAATGCTCCCCAAACTTGCAGCATAAACTTGCTGGAATACAATGCTTTTGCCAAGATGAAGCAAGGGGCAGCAACTTTATTTAGTGGCGACTCACGTCCGCCACGTTACAGTGTTGTTAAACGGACATATGTGGCCTTTTACAGGGAGAACACATGCCAGGCGAAAACCCACCACGTCCTGGAACACTGCCACCGAAACATTTGCTGGAACGGGAATATCCAGAACTACCCAGCTGGCACCACGAGGAGGTTGTCCGGCAAGGGAAAGCAGACGCTCAACTCACTGAATCGATGGCAAACGAATTGCCTTGTATTATTAGGACGGAATCACCATTCAATATTTCCCAGACTTTTGTTAACATTTTATGCAATCTACTCAAGATATTGTTCTTTTAGCCATCAAGATCTATTCACCATTTTTTATCAAGTGCTCATTTAAATACAGTGCCATCGTCGTCGTTGGTTCGATTTTTATCTCTAGCTAACATCATAGCGTGCACTTTCAGCTCTGTCAGCCAAACAAATCACATCATTCAGACAATTCTCAGATGAAGATATGCATGAGTGTCAATCTGTGTCCCTCTACCGTCATTTCGAATTCAGCAGCACAAGTCACGAATCGGCTCTGCGTATAGTCGGCGTTGTCCTGTTACTGTTTTCAGCTCTGAATACCCTTCAGGCAGACTTACCTACTACCTTGCCAAGAGATCAAGGTCTTTCTGCATTTGCAGTTTGCGTGAGTAAGTATCGATGTCAGCCTCCAGTTCCGGAAATGATAGGAGAGGTGTTAGCTGTAAAAGGCCATACAAACTGCTTCGGCGTATCATATTTCAACGTATGATGCAACAGTTGCCCAAAAATTTCCACTTATCAATTAAGAGCTGCACGAACCTAACAGCTTTTTAATGCCATGCCGTACCTGTCTGCTGCTGGCTTAGGTTGTGACCTCATGGGAACAGCCCAGTCTTCTGCACATTTCGTAGCTTGCACCTCACTGAAGAATGAGACCTACCGTATCTCAATTAGCTTGTAAGTGATGACGGTCTGCCGCTGTCTCCTGCCGCCCAGTGGCATAAGCTTCTGGCTTGTGCTGCAAGCCAATAGCAGTCACGGGTTCGGTTCATGATGGAGTCGAAGAATGACCATCACTGACGTGTCCCAATGGGACGAAACGGCTGGCTGGTGTTTTTGCGGATTGGTTGCAAACTATCTGACTTGAAAGCCACCGCGGCGAATCTTCAATGCAGCCAGTATTGGTGTGTATCCGAGTGCACTAAATCGCGCTTGTTCTCAACCTTCCGAATCGTCGATCAACGAGGGCCTCAGCGGTAAATGCAGTGCAATCGGTGGAATTATGCCCACAAATCGCGATGCCGGCTGGTTGGAAGTAGACACCGAACTTGCTTCCTAAGAAACTACTTTTATTGGTATACGTTATAGACATAATACATGGGCTCCGTCAAACAATGATCTCTGTTCGTAGATCCTTTCAACCAGGCTGAAACCTAAAATCAACACTAGTTTTTACAAACTGGTGTTTTGAAGCATAGTTGTGCAAACACAGTACAGCTGCATAGAAACGTCAGCTGTATTGCAAGATCTAGTTGAGAACCTTTTTACTCAGTTGTAATAAGTCCACTGATACGGTAGTAACTGGTTGTGAATACGCCCGGTCTGCAAATAGTCAAGCTTATCAAATGACGTCAATGAATTTTTATGGGCCAGCTGGATGCTTTCAGTAAGGATCATTGGTCCAATTTGTTTGATTCTGAAATGTTTTAAAAGCACGTACTTTTTATCTAAAAGTACGTTTCAAAATCATGTCCGATTGGTGGTCACCCAATGTGTTCTTTTTCTTGGTATACCAGTTGTTGCAAACTCCTGCGCATCTCATACTCCACTGTGATGCGTGCTTACCCAACGTTAGAAACGTCAAGTTTGGCTAAGACAGTTTGATGGGAGACAAACAAATGGCCAGTGGAGTGCAGCAGATAACATTGCGTACTCCCATCGCCGACCAGTCGTCCTTACTTTATCCGAAGGTGTCACCATTCACTGGTTACTAATGGCATGTTACGCAAACCTATGGCGGTCTTGACACTCACTCGACCGCTTTATGGTGATCATCAGATTCAACTGTCTCAGTGAAGCTCGTGCGGTTGGTTCGCCAGGTGCTTCCACTCATGCCCAGATATTCGACAAATCGGATGGGAAGGCATCGCCTATGCGAAATTCAACAGCAACAGCAAGATAACTTTGCACCAAACACACTTTCAACACGCAGCCTGACTACGAGCCGACCGCTAAGTGGCACGGATGCCGGCTGCGAGCCATGTCTTGTAACCGCCATATAAACACAAGGCGGGTCACGTGGGCTCCAGCCTGGAAAGCGAGATGGGCGAACGGTATACAGTTTTGTAATCAGCGCCTTCATTTCCTGCCGCCAAGTAAGCTTTTGTCCACCCCTAGCCTTCTCACCATACATCTAGGAAACTAAACAAGGCGGCGACCGGGCATACGTGGTAGGTACCCAAGCCAACGCAACTTATTCCCTGCTATCTGCTGGTATAAGGATCTACCCTGATCATAACTACCTAGCACTCGCTTACGCACAGCATCATTGAGGACAGGCTGCTGCCATCCGTCACCTGCAATGCTCCGTAGGCCGAGATGGTCAAAGACTTCAAGAGGCCTCAGACTGAATGCGCCAAGTATCTCTTTCATGGCGTAGGACGACCCTCACTGTGGCCTTGTGCACACGGTCTCTCACACCGAAGGAGATTCTATTCTGATGCCAAAGATGTCGCGGCTCCAAAAAGGCCGCTCTAGATTGTCGGGTTGTGTTAAGCACTGCACGCGAAGCTCAATGGCCTACTTCTCATGACAATAACAGCCAATCACTATGTGCAGTTCTACTCCCAGCTCAGGCCATCTCCACCTGAGAAGTACAAGCGAGGACGAAATGCGTCATGAGGGCAGTGATGGGAGAGAGAGAGAGCGACACCGAAGGCCGTTTTAGTTTTTGCAGTACGTAAGCTGACTCCACTGGCTATGAATCCAAGGTAAGTGAACTGTCACTACAAATGATTCACTCCAGTTAGCTGGGATGGTCTCTTCGTTTTAGATCTGTTCCATCAAGTGGGTCAGTGCTTTACAGAAAAAACCACGGCACCACTCTTAAGTAGCGCGGGAGCAATCGAATACGGACTAGCAAATGGAAAACGACTACGAGCAGTGATGGAGTTTCCAACCTCAGTATCCGAGGAATCATCTGAAATAACTCGCCAAGGATCAGCCTGCACCACTTGAGTGGGAAGCGGTCCGGAAGCGGGGGCCAACTGAACTGACCTTAAAAGATCTCCACCCAACGAGCCATACGGTGTTCCTTATCGTGTATCATGTCACGCATTCTGTCTCCGATTGTCTCAATGACGTCTGGATTCCTGAGACCAGTGGTGTGGATCAGTTGGAAGAGTTTTTCATCAGCCATTATTGCTCCAGCCTCTTCCATTCCTTGAGCCCTACTAGCGCACCAGCCTTCCTTGTCAACATGCAAGCTCTGTCTTAGTTCATTTCTAATA